TACCTCCGTATTGAAGCTTCCTTTTCGTTAAATATAATCGCATCTAGCCTACTACTAGGCTGCCATTTTCTACCACGTGATGGTTACAGCGCATGCGCAGATTGCTCTTGCATCTGATTACTGATAACATTCACAATGAATCTCATTAACTTCATATTCTACCTAGTGAATATCGTTAACTAGCTGTGGTTAGGTTGATATGGCTTATATAACACCCGGCGGTCCCTTTGATCTTACAGTAACTATAGTATATAGATACATTACAAGTATCTAGAAATCATTTGACATATGGGATTAAGATGACAATATAAATTATGTGTTGATAGGCTTTCAGATTATAGCTATTCTATTCAGTGAATTTATTGTACAGACAAGGTTGTCACAAGGTTGTTACATGGTTGTCACAAGGTGGAAAATGTGTCAATTCCAGGGTTTTACAAGGTGGTGGGCCTTGTGGCCAGGTAGTGACCACCTTGTGACCACTTAGTAACAACAACCTTGTTACAAGGTTGCCGCAACCATGCTGCAACTTTGTTTTTTCTATATGGGTTAGACTGAATATAGTTTGTTGAGGAATAGAGTTACTTTTTAAAATATAATCTCTTCTTACCTTAATATCACGTCCTCCTAATAGTGACAGGTCAATAATATCTGATAATGATTCATCAGGTAGGATCTCCTTCAACTCTGTACATCTAGTACCAGTGGTAACTAGAAATGGTTGTTGTTCAACCACTGCTGAGAGTACAGCTTTTACACTATACACTGTCCTTTCTCTTGGTGTATTCACAGGATAGGCTAGTTCTTTAGGATCAATAACTAACTCTTTTACCTCTAGACTGGGACAGGATTCTTTATAAACACTCATTACCTCTCCTATCACATCTCTTCTTAGAGACACCATTTTGTCACTGTAACCTTTCTCACAGGACATCATTACTAGTACACACTGGCTCTCGTCCACAATCTCTACTAGTGACCCTACACCATGACCATTAAACCAATAGAGTCCATTCTTCCAAAATGTACAGTAACGATTTAACTTGTCATATTCTTGAGGTAGAGCCATTTTGTAAGCAAGATGTAATGAGAGGACGTGGAAGTATCGAGGAGGAAAGAAATGATGTTTACTAGTACACTGTAGACACCAACCAAACTGGTACACTTGACTAGTCATCTTATCAGGTCTATCAGTAGACAAAAGACATGGAAAGAACAACAACCTTTCTCCTCTTCTTTCTCTCCCCCCCTCCTCCTCCTCTTCCACTGCTAACTGATGGAGGTTTGTCGTTCTTAGGAAAGATGGATTCATTCTTTGACAGAGTTCCATGTTCTTCAGGAAACAGATCAACATGTCAGGATCATATTTAGGGAAGAGTCTAGTCAAACCAGACACACTAACAATACCGGTATTGCTAGCAATGTCAACATGTTCTTTGAATGTCTCTGGAGCAAAGAGAATCCCGTCCACCTCAGTTAGTAGTATACCCTTATTCACAACAACCCATAACTTGTCTTTACTTTTAAGAACACTGATCAAACCAGTTGACTGCAATGAATGAAGAGCATCCAAGACGTCTTCTCTCTTATCTGGTATAAAGTAATTATTACTGTCGTTACCAGCAGACACTAGATCAAAGAGGGTCAGTATATTCTCTTTTCCTTCCTCCAGTAGACCATACATCATGTGACAAGAAAGACTCAATTTCCTTCCACTTGTACTACGAATGGACTCACAGGCACTAGACAATTTATTAAAGAAGAAATCCATACCACTCCCACCAAGTTTACGACAATCTAAGAAGACACTATCACACCTTTCCCTTACAATATTCTCCTGTATTTTCTTCTTTCTCCTTTTCCTTTCAACAGAATTACTTATCTCATCCACATGACTGACTATTACAATAACATGGCATTGATTAAGAGCTTTCTGTGTTTCATTTCTCACAACTGTTAGCCACTGATGAAGCTGTTTGACTGCTTCCTTCTCTAATATATTGACTACTATCAGGAACACACCACCAGAACCTTGTAACAAATTCTCAATGACAGCACTGTGACTGGAGTAGTATTCTGAATGACCAGCAAAGTCATGAAGAATGATGTTACCCAGTGTCCTGTGTTGTAGTTTATAAGGAATGATGCCAGAAGTACAGGGCACTACCCCTCCAACATTTCTAAAGGAACCAAGAGCAATAGAACCAGTAGCTGTGTCATTGATGACATGACTAAGAGTACTTTTACCAGCTCCAGGATTACCCACAAGGAGAACGTTAACATAAGAATCAATTGGATAAGATATATTAATGACACCAAACTTCTTAAAGATATCAATGACAGCCTCTCTATCAGACCCTCTCCCTTTAGCTAGTTGTAATGGTGTCACCCCCTCATTGTCTTTAGCCAAAGGATCACAATTACAAGTTGATAAAAAAAATTCAACAACTTCGGGTGTGCCACAATCAGCAGCAACATGAAGAGATGTCCATCCTTCTTTATCAGTAACCGTTGTATCACAGTTGCATTCATTAATGAGGTACTTTACAACATGTATGTGTTTAACAGCATGATGAAGAACAGTCAGACCAATAGTATCACGATATTGTTTATCCATTATATGACCATTGATGTTTATGACCATACACTTCAAGACATCAAGTAATCCACCTTCCCTGGCTACATATTGAAGAATGGGCCTGCCGGGACACCAAGTAGCAATACCCATCATTGGATCACAGCCACACTCTTTAATAAGATATCCAACTATAGCGGCGTGATTACCTTTAGCAGCAGTATAAAGATAGGATTCATGTTTGTAGTATTCATATGGATCAAAACGGTAACTAGTGATGAGATCTCTTGTAACATCTAACCAACCATTACTTATAGAATAATAAAGCAGGTAAGGCTCATCCAGGTAAAGCACTTCAGGATCCTGTAAACGTAATAACCGAACAGCTTTTTCAATATCTCTTCTTACAAATGCACCCTGAAGTCGCCGTAGTGCCATCTTCTATAGTCTGTCAGCATAGTGTAAATGAAATAGATATTAAATATCAGTTGAGTTGCCCAAGCACCACCCCTTATAACTTTTTGTTACTAATGCTAGATCTACAGCCCTTTTCACAAAACTTGCATCAGTCTGATCATGTGAGGCTTCATAAAAATATTAAGTCAAGCCTATGGCTGATCATCACGCTGTACATCAGTTCAGTTTCCATCTAATGGTATCAGTTACTCTCAAGTGTGTGGTAGAGTAGTGGGATATCAATGGGGATCAACTGATGGAGCATATCCAGGCAGATATCAAGAAGAAACATATGGTAGTGTTATTGATTCTAATCACAATGATATCAATTCTTATTATGTTGATGGTGTTAGTATCACTCATGAGTCTCCTCCATAGGCATAGGAATGGGGGGGGCTGCAGCAGTGGCGTATCTAGACTTTTGAGGATGGTTACGCAAAGATGGCGCGCAAAGTGCGCCGAAAAATTGTTTGCGGTTAATTAATACCATAATTATAATAATTCATAATTTCATAATGGGTATTATAATGGGCATTATATGGGTATATAATGGGTATTCATAATGGGTATTCATAATGGGCGTGTCTTTAATTAAAGTACATCTACGCCCACAATAATGATGATAAAGTCGACTATATCGGACTAGCTTGGCTTGCTCTTTTCTTCTCTAAAGTTCTCTTTTGAGTGTTTTCTTTATTTATTGTGTTCTCTGGCCTTGATCAAGATTGGAGATATCTTAAATTTTAACTACAGTAAATTAGAAGGCAATATTAATTTAATTCAGTAGCA